CCCAGGTAAGAAACCAACAAAAAAGCAAAAAACAAAACAAAAACAAAACCATCCCCACTCCCCCCCCCCGAACAAAACAACCCCGCAACCAAACCAAAACAACCAACCAAACAACATAAAAAAGATGCACGTTTTCAACACTGAACCCCTTTCGTCACAGAAGTAAAATCTGTACCAAAGACTGAGATATTATTATATAGCATTATTATCTTTTCACTCTTGGAATTACCATTATTTTTTTTCTGGGTAAAAAATAATTACCACCGATACTCTAGAAATGCAAGAGCGGTGAATCCACCAACACAGAGAACAGGATGGAACAAAGAAAACCGAGAAGGAAGGGTTGGCATATGAAGTAGTCCCAGTACTTATTTTTTTTACTGCATTCCACGTTTAAAAGAGAAAAAGGCAAAGAAGGGGGTGGGGGACAAAATGCAAACGACAATCACGTCTAATCTAACGATTAAGCAGACTCTTTTATGACTCACAAGGAGGGAGGCAGAAGGCTGAAACCTTTGGAACAGAGCATAATATTTATCTTCTTCTTGGGAGAGAGTTGGGTTCTAATCAACGATAACAAATGACTCACCTCCTATGGCTAGGATTCCAGACCCGGCCCACACACACAGACACATGCCCACTGACCCAGTGTTGCGCAACACTTCTTTGGGGGAGATGAAAATGCCGGAACCTGGGAACGAAAGTATCAACAACAACAAAGCCAATAAAGTAAACAACAGTAAACACCCGTTATCCCACACACATAAAAGAAAAATAAAGTTCGCAGAAGTGCTTTTCATGAAAAAGGCAAAATGTTAAACAAATTAGGAGCACACTCATTTATACCTATACAAGTATTATAGCTAGGGGTTATGATTCAGATCGAATGCTAGATGAAAAAAATAGCGGAAAAGATGTTAAAAACGTTTGTAGCTTCCCATCCTTGCAATCCCTTTTTTCAGTGCCATTTTGAAAATAATCGGCAAAAGCACTCACAGTGTTAGGTTACAGTGCAAATCAAGCTATCTAGAAGAGCTGGCTACATTTACGTCACAAATGTAGTGCACTGGACCCCAATCATTTTAGAATTGTGACGGTGACTGCTCAAGTGATCCAATTCCTGAACACCTGGTCGATCGAATATGGTTTATAACACGACACAAAGTCTCACTTAACAATGATTTCTCGATCAAACCCTGAAATATGCACACAGTTTATGTATAAGATGTGACTGGCCCTTTAACTAACAGTAAAACCCAAACAAGTGCTGTCTGTTGACGTCTATGGTGTAGCTGTTAAGCGCTTTGCCGTCGCTTACATAAGACCTGAGTTCGATTTCCTTTTGGAGATAATTTATTTTTCTCGAGTGTCTCTGTCTTTCTGCTGAGAAGTCGTATCCCTCTCAGCCTGGTTTGCCCCTGACAGGCAGGGTCGAAGCAGTCCACTTTCTGAATGATCTAGATTATATCAATGGGGGCATAAGAACTTACAACCACAACCAGAGCTGTTTGCTCACCTATGATAGCGCTCATTATGAGGGCACACGCAGTGGGAAGTCCTAGCTCTTTCTTCAGCTCCACTCTCTCAGGTCCTTCTATCTTCAGCTCAGGGTCTAGGACTTCACTCTTCGACTCACCACTCCCTGTTTTCGCGTTGCCGTTTTCGTTCGTCATTGTTGGAGACGATGTGGTCCTCCTCTTATTCTAACACCCTTTCCTCCCACTTCTGGAAAGACGAGTTATTGTATATTAAACAAAAATCAACAACAACCCAACCACATAAGCAAGCAAAGTGACACACAAACAGACAAGGTATGGATAAGTTAGCATATAAATCATTTTGAAATTATTCAAAATCAAAACTAGCTATCACATAATACGATGGCAATGATTTCAATACACATGCCTGTACATGTACAGCGAATGGGTGGAGATTTTCACTGGAAGGTTCTACTTGTTTTCTTTTCCTGTTCTTTGTAACTTGCTTTCCACTGCACTAAATCAAATGTCCTTTGCCGTGTCAATATTCATCTCCTTTCTCAAGCCAAACTAAACATGTGTGTGCACTCTCTCTCTCTCTCCCAGTCTCTCTCTCTCTCTCTCTCTCTCTCTCTCTCTCTCTCTCTCTCTCTCTCTCTCTCTTTCTCTCTCTCTCTCTCCCCCCATCTCTCTCTCTCCATTTCTCTTCCCCCCTTTGTCTGTCTGTCTATTTCGTGGTTCGACATGGATGACCCTTTGGCGGCCGAGGTGGTCATGGAGGATGTGGAGGGAGATGGCGAGGTCGGCGTTGGTGGATGTGGGCTGTGCAGCTGCTCTAGTGTAATGATGACGTGATTCTCTGTGTGTGTGTTGTCTCGTGTTGAATTGTTGTGGTTTATGTTCTCTTGCTGAGTGTATATTTAGAATTAGCATCTCTTTTCTTCTCTTCTCTTCTCTTCTCTTCTCTTCTCTTCTCTTCTCTTCTCTTCTCTTCTC